CGGCGGCGCTGCTACTAACTCTATGCGAGGCAGCTGCATTGGGGCAAGATAGGAAGGTGGCGGTGTGGGGTCAGGTGTTATTTATGGGGACTGAGGGCAATGTGGGCAGCACGCCAAGACGCGGCGTGGCGAAGACGGAATCGACGGCATCAACAGTGTCCGTGTCGGACACGAGCAGAGGAAGGAGATGACCCTGACGTGTCAGCGAGAGGAGAGAGCGGGGGCGGCTTTGTTGGGCTGCGCTAGGCTAGGCCACGGGGAGAAAGAGGCGGCTGCACGGCTGGGCCGGTCCAAGAGCGGGGTGTGGGAGAGGGACGGCTGGGCCTACGGAGGAGAACTGACGACTGGACCAGCAGGCCGAAAATGAGAGAGGAAGAGAGTTTTTCTTTTCTTTTTCTAAACTAATTTTCCAAACCAATTTTGAATAAAAATTCAAATCAATTTGAAATTTGATTTCAAACCACACAATACAAAAATAATATGCAGCAGCATGAATGCATAAGCATGTATGTAGACCTTATATTTGATTTTAATTTGATAAAATTTATTATTATTTTTTTCTATGTTGCTTGCTCACACTAATGCATAAATAAATCCAATTCACCTATTTTCAAAATATTACAAATTTTAGGGTGTTACATCCATGAGCCACTATGTATCATTTTCTAATCTAATAGTTGGAAATAGAGATTTTGTTAAAAAAAATACCATCCAACAGCTTCTTTATTTTGATATAGTCATAGTCTAATTCGAATTTCTCATTAGCCAAAGATAAAGAGCGAGACAAACTCTCAAGAGTGCACATGAGATATAGAAAATTGTTGGACAGGGAAAATGGTTTTTATTCAAATGACTCAACTCCAAGAGCCTTTTTAGGGCGTGTTTGAGACTGCTCTACTAACTCTGCTCTATAAATTCCACCGTGGTGCAGCTCCATAAAAAACCTAGAGTTTGTGGAGCACATCTTTAGGTGCTTTCACAACTTCACCTTTTTTCTCGAACAGAGTGCGTGGAGATGAACCTTTGTTTGGCTAAAATACGTGGAACAGAGCTGAAAAACATGGAGTAGAGCAGTCCCAAACACCCCGTTATATCTTTTATAATTGAAAGGAATTGAGATTTTGGATTTAAAAAACTACACTCAATTGGACCTTCAAATATAGATATTCTCTATTCCAAATTTATCGTTAGCCAAATGTAAAGATGTGCATGCAGCCCGTGGGCCAAAGGCTCGGCCCAAAGCACGGTTATTGGACCCGACCCGAGCACGGCACGGCCCGAACCCTAACCGGGCCCGTGCCAGCCCAAAGCCCATAGCAGGCCGGGCTTGGGCTGAGGCCTTGGCCCACCGGGCGGCACGGCCCGGCCCATTTTACAACGGCCGGCCCGGTGGAGGCTCGGCGGCTGGAGGGGCTATATAAGCCCCCCCGCCCCGACGGACCCCCACCTTCGGCCATTCCCCCTCACTCCGCCAGCGCCCGCAGCCGTTCTCCCGCCACCCTCGCCTTTGAGCTCTGAAACCCTAACCCTAATCCCCACATCGCCTCGCCTCTCGCCGCCGGTCGCCGCCCGCCGCCCACCGTCGACCACCTCCCAGGCTACCACTGCCGTCGTCCACCTCCCAGGCTACCGCTGCCGACGTCGGATGTTGAGATCTCCTCTTCTCTGATCTCTCCCCCCTCCTCGTCTCACTTCTTCCTCCCTACCTCTCTGACTAGTTTGACTCTCTGTCTCTCTCTGACCGGATCTTGGGATCTCCTTTTGTCTCCCCCCTCTTCTCCGTCTCGTCTTCGTCTTCTTTTCCATTTCTCCGGTGCCAGGCTCCGTCTCCATGCAGGCAAGTACCTCTAACCTTAACCCTAACCCTAGATCTAGTAGGCAATCACACGAACCCTAATCCATTTCTCGGTGTTTTTGGTTCGTAGGTCGCCGGTGTGTAGCTGGTGCCGCAGGAGGCGTTGAGGGACGGTGTCGGTTGGGTGGGTGCCATCTGCCATGGCCGGCTCTGAGTCCGCTAATGGTGACGATGGTCCAACCATCAACGACGAGCGCAGGGCCACAGGGCAGATCCCCGATGACGAAGACAACATGGGAGATGCTGCTCATCTCTTGTTCGGTAGGAGTGCTGCTCCAACCAACCGAGACGATGCAGCAGCTAGTGCTGCGGCCACCAGCGATGCAGCATCTCTGGCTTCGTCCACCACTAGTAAGCGCCGATCCCCTGTCTGGGCTAACTTTGATGAAATCATAGAGACAGTGGACGGTGAGGTACGTGTTGTTGCTATTTGTAAGCTCTGTAAGTCTCGTTTATCTGGTAAATCTGCTAATGGCACTGGTCATTTGAAAAGACATATGCTCTCATGCAAGAAGAAAACAGAACAGGCTAATTTGGTTCAAACTAGGCTTGCTTTGAATCCTAATGGGTCTTATAGGAACTGGGAATATAGGCCTGATATTGCTAGAGCTGAGCTTTGCCGTTTGATTGCTAGATTAGATCTGCCTTTATCTATTGCTGACAATGATGCTTGGGATGATTACATTCAGCGTGCTCACAATCCTAGATACAAGAGAGTGTCTAGATTCACCACATCTAGAGATCTTTCTAAGCTTTTCAATGAAAAACTGCATCACCTAAAAAATGAAGTAATGCCTGGTGTGTCTTCTGTTTGTTTGACATCTGATATCTGGTCTGGCAATGCTAAGGAAGATTATATCACTATTGTTACTCACTACATTACTTCTGAGTGGGAACTTAAGAAAGCTGTTATTGGCTTTAAACTGATTGAAGTGACTCATAGTGGTATTAACATTGCTGAAATTATTGCTGGTGTGCTTGGAGATTGGGGCCTACTTGACAAAGTTTTCTCTGTTAGCCTTGATAATGCATCTGCTAATACATCTGCTATGCTTACTTTGAGTCCTCTGCTTGCTGGTTACTTGGGTTATGATATTGATCCATTGAATCCTAGTAAAAAGATCTATCATATTGTGCATCAGAGATGTGCTTGCTATATAATTAATTTGATTATTAAATCTGGTTTGAAAAGGCTTAAACCACACATAGAGGTTTTTAGGACTGCAATTAACTTTCTGAATTCATCTAATCATCGCATTGCACAATTCAAAAACTATTGCATTGCTAAGGGTATGAGGCCTCGTAAATTTGCTTTGGATATGGATGTTAGATGGAACTCAACCTACCTTATGCTAAAACATCTCATGCCATATAGATCTGTGTTTTCTGTGTTCATCAATTCTCAGTCTGGCTATCCTCTATTGAATGAACAGCATTGGTACATTGCTGACAAGGTATTGCAGTTCCTTGAGTTGTTCTATGATTCAACTGTTGTACTTTCTGGTGTTTATTACCCCACTAGTCCTTTGGTACTTCATCACATACTTGAGATTGCATCCCATCTACATGAATTTGAACATGATAATACTCTTGCTGCTATAGTTGTGCCAATGAAGAATAAATTTCTTAAGTATTGGAAGAATATACCACTGTTATACTCTTTTGCATTTATTTTGGACCCAAGGGCTAAGTTGAAAGGTCTGCTTGGCTTGCTTGCTCTAAGTAACAATATGAGTTACATTGATTACTTTGCTGAGGTTAAATCTGAGTTGCATAAACTCTATGACAAGTATGAATCTAAGTTTGGTGCTGCTAGGCCAGCTAGAACCACCCATCCATCTAGACTGACAGGTAAGAGAAAGCAGGCATGGGGCAAAATTTTTGGAGGATCAGTTTCTTCTGGTCCTTCAAGTGCATCTGCAGGATCTATTGTGCCTCCTGGTCTCTCTGAGCTCACTGTTTACCTTGACAGTGACAATGTTGTGGCATATGATGATGACTTTGATATCCTCAATTGGTGGCATGAGCATAAACTAACCTATCCAGTTCTCTGTACCTTGGCTAAAGATATTATGACTGTTCCTGTATCAACTGCTTCTTCAGAGTCTACCTTTAGTCTTACTGGCAGGATCATTGAGGAGCGGCGACGGCGATTGGGCGTGGACAGCGTGGAGATGCTAATCTGTGTCAAAGACTGGGAGCTAGGTGAATCCGGTGGACAGCACACTATGGAGGACAAAGAGCTAGAAGAGTACTTCAAAGAGCAGTACCTTGATGATGAAGCTAGTGGATCATCTACTGCTGGTGATGGTTGACTGCTGAGAGTTGAGAGCCTGAGAGGCTGTGAGTGCGACTTTAGTTGTGAGAGTTGAGACATTTGAGCTAGCTGGTTTGTAATAACTTTGAACAATTTGAACATTTTAATTTATTGAGCTAGCCGTACTCTTTTTTTTCTAGGATTTTATCTCACGAGGTGTGAGTTTTACCTAGAAAGGTTTTTAATGAGGCGGCATTGCACAAACAGCTCAAATCTTTTGTCATCTGGTGTTTCTGTGATTGTTGAATATGAATATGTGAATCTGTGATTGTTTGAAGTTTGAACCTGTGATTGTGTTGTTTGAAATATGGTGTTTACTGTGTAACGGGCTATGGGCTGGCCCGATGGACCAGTGGGCCAAGGGCTCAACGGGCTGGCACGGCCCGATATTCGGCCCATGGACCATGCCTGGGCCGTTCACCAGGCACGGTGGACTGTTCAGGCACGGCCCGGTGGCCCGGCGGGCCAAAATGGCCCGAGCCCGATCGGGCCGTGCCGGGCCGTGCTGGCCTGTTGCTCATCTTTAGCCAAATGTGGAGAGTAAGGATGACTCTCTAGAGTGCCCAGAAAATACAGAACAAATGTCTCTTGAAATGATGGCTTAGAGAGTAAGTTTTACAGAAACTTTTGCAGGGGAGTGAGTTTTAGAAATGACTCTCGGCCAGATGCTGTTAGCCGTTTTTATACTCTGCTTAAAGGTTATCCAACTATCTCTCTATATATATGGGGTGTATATATATGGATGCCCCCGACGGCGATCGACGACGGCGAAACGACAGCGAGCGCCGCGGTGAGCCGGTGGCTGCTGCTCATCAGCGGCAAGACGGTATGGGTTTCAACCCCCCGGTGCCGCAGGGGGACAGCGACTGGGAGATCCGCGTGGCCGTGCTGCTGAGCCTCTTCTTCCAGGTGCTCCTCTTCCTCGTGGGCCCGACGCGCAAGCGCACCGCAAATCCCATGGTCCGCTTCGCCTGCTGGTCCTGCTATCTCCTCGCCGACTGGGTCGCCGACCTTGCTCTTGGCCTCCTTCTCAACAACCTCGGCAATATCGGCGGCAACGGCTCATCGTCATCCTCCTCCTCGAGCCTTTCCAGCGCTGGCGTGAAGCGTGGTGGTGGTGGTGGTGTGGGCACCACGACGGGAAGCGGCAGCAGCAGCCCCGGCATCTTCGCGTTCTGGACGCCATTCCTCCTCCTCCACCTGGGCGGGCAGGACACCATCGCCGCCTACTCCATGGAGGACAACGAGCTCTGGCTCCGACACCTCATCGGCCTCCTGTTCCAGCTTTTCGCCGCCTGTGTTGTCTTCTCCTGCTCCATTGAGGCGAACCCCATGATCCCCGCCACCGTCGTCATGCTCGTGGCCGGCATCATCAAGTACGGCGAGCGCACTTACTCGCTCTACTCCGGTAGCGTCGACGGCATCCTCGCCAGCATCCTCCCCGCTCCTGATCCAGGCCCTAATTACGCCAGGCTCATGAACGTGTTCAGCAGCAGGAAAAACTCCGGCCTGGGCGTCGAGGTCGTCGCCGCCAATGGCCTGGCCCATCAGTTCCAGCAAGACCAAAGTAGGCATGAGGTCTCCCGGCTAAGGGACGCCGACAAGAAGCCGGAGGAACAGGCTTACGACCTCTTCACCATCTTCCGGAGCGTGTGCTACGATATCAATCTCGGTCACAGGGAGCGCCAAACGAGCCAGGCCTTCTTCCTCGACCGCGACAGCATGAAAACCAATGACGCGGTGCAGGTGATCGAGCTGGAGCTCAACTTCATGTACGACATGGTGCACACCAAGGAGCCCGTCGCCCACACCAAGCTCGGCTGCATCCTCCGCCTTGTCGGCTCTGGCTGCATCGCCTACTCGGCCGTCGCCTTCTTCCACCTCGACAAGGGCAGCATCCGGCGTGTAGATGCCGACATCACCTACGCGCTGCTGCTCGGCGCGCTGGCGCTTGACGCGGCGGCTCTGTCCATGCTCATCTTCTGCTCAAACTGGACGCTGGTCTTCCTCGACAAGTCAAGGTCCGGCCTGCTAAACTACCTTGGGCAGTGCGTCAGGCCGCTGCAGCCGAAGCTGGCACGCTGGTCAGAAAGGACACCACAGCTGAACCTCATCAGCTACTGCCTGGGCAAGCTCGACGGCGACGAGGCGTCTGCCACTGTCGCAGGCCGCCACCTGTGGAGAAGCCCGCGGGCTATCCGGGCGCTACGCAAGGCCGCCCACAGGCTAGGCGCGGGCGCGGCGGAGATCTTCGACGACATCTTCTTCGTTAGGCGCGATCCTCTGAAGAGCCGGGGTAGGGAGGACCCCATCCCCGTGATCGATTTTGTCTTCACGAAGCTCAAGGACGCGGCCAAACAGGTTCGGCAATCCACGGTTCCAAGCGACCAAGTGGGGGGGTCCAAGGCTACGACCAAGGCATCTCGGAAAGCCAGGCACAAGGACGTGGAGGAGATGAGGAAGGCGTGCAGCTACCGTGGGGAGAAGGCCCTCAATGATACGAAGAACAGGATCGTCGAGGAGATGAAGCAGAGGATCCCGATCAACTGGGACATCCTGTTCGACAGCGTCATCGACCGGGACTTCGACGAGTCCTTGCTAATGTGGCACATCACGACGGACCTCTGCCTCTACTACGACGAACCGCCATCGCCAAGAGTCTCCAGATGGATGTCCATCAGCAAGACCCTGTCGGAGTACCTGCTGTACCTGCTTGTGAAGCAGCCCAAGATACTTGCGGCGTCGGCGGGCGTCGGGCAGATGGCATACCAGGACACCTGCGCGGAGGCACGACGCTTGTTCGAGTCGGTGGCCATGTGGGAGCCCGACCACGAAGACGCCCGGAGGATGCTGCTGCACGCGTGCACGGACGTGGATCCGGAGCTGGTCAAGGGCGGCCGCAGCAGGTCGGTGCTATTCCCGGCCTGCATCATTGCCAAGGAGCTCAGGGAGCTGGATATATATACTAGAAGTCAGTTGGTGGCCGGCGTGTGGATGGAGATGCTGACATACGCGGCGGCCAAGTGCAAGGGCACCACGCACTTGCATCAGCTCGCCCGCGGCGGCGAGCTCATCACCATGGTGTGGCTCCTCATGGCGCACATGGGGATCGGCAACATTTACAAAAAGATGGTGGAGGAAGACGCCACTCCAAAGCTCATCATCCGTCACCAGTAACTACTAACCTGGCATCAAACACAAGAACATTTTTTTTAATTACTAAGTTCACTACCATGCTCGCAGCTCGCTCAAATAAGTCTATATATATATATATATATATATATATATATATATATATATATATATATATATATATATATATATATATATATATATATATATATATATATATATATATATATATATATATATATATATATATATATATATATATATATATATATACTTGTACATCAACCCGTGTTTCTGCACCGGTTAGAATTTTAGATAAGCATTACATGTTGCTGTTTAAATATTTGAATAATATATAACTTATTTATATTAATTTGCACATTTGTGTCTCTTTATGCATTTTCAAACACAATAGGAGTAATCTATATCTAGTTGTAACAAACTTATCGATTGCTGATTCATAGCTTTTTTTTCCTTTGTAAGGTGTATCTATGTATCTGCATTTAGTTAAAACCTTAACTTTGTTGGTTTGTTGGCTCTTGTTGCAGTCCATATCCTAAGACGCCATAAATCTAGATTTTGATTTTTCAAATTTTAATCTTATTAGTTGCAGAGTTTTTGTCCTCAAAGTTAACTTGAAACTCTTATGCTTATTGTATCTTTGATTAACTCTTCTTGTGTATTCTACTAAAAATAAGGCACAGGCTCTACTCTTAAGTACTACAATGGCATAATAGTTTTTTCTTTAAAAAAAAAAACTACACCAGGTCACTTAAAATTATTGGTTGAGCATAAAGTGAGAACTACAAGGGTACCGGTGCTAGCCTTAAGAGGATATTAATATTTAAGCCTTATAATCAATGTTTGCTCCAAAGGAATATCAAAGGCCAGATACATATAACCATGTTTGTTCTGCTCTAACCTCTCCCACTTCTCAAGTTGTTTAAACTTTCTATTCAACGAACTCTATATGCAGTAATACTTTTTCATATAAAAAATAGAGTTCTTACAATTAAACTGTTAATGTCATCAAACATTTTAGTCAAAATGTATAAAATTTATCTAAATAACAACTTATATAAATTATATGTAATGGGTACTAATATAAACTTTAGATATTTTATAGTATCATTAGTACATGAGTCATTAAGCTCAGTTTCTGTGCATTTGTTGCCCGAATGGCTAGTTTCGCCCTAGACTTCGCAAGTCATGTGGGCATCCATGATTTGGGTGACAACTTGAGCAAAGTCTCCAAACTTCTTCATCAATATATCCATCTTGGCAGCCAACATCAACATGTCGAGTCCATCCACTTTGTCAACTCCACGGGGTGGGCAGCTTGGAAGGCGTTCTTCCTTCTAGCCATGGTTAGTAACCATTTTCTCAATAAGCTGATGAGCTTCCATAATTTTCAGAGAGACAAATGCTCTTCCAGATGCTTGATCTAGATGATTTTGGACAGTATGGTCACACGAAAGAAATTCTAAATGACGAACCAATCTTCCATCCCATGATTGGAACATGCCTAGATATATTCTTAGAAGCGCTCACATGCTTCAAGAATCAATTCATCAGTGATCAACTTGGAAGAGATGAATCTGATTCAGAAGGGCCTTGGTCTTGTCCAGTGGGAAATATTTGGTCAGGAAAGCATTAGAGAACTTCTCCTAAGTAGTAAAGGACTCCCTATTGGCATATAATCATTGTTTCACCTTCCCAATTAGTGAGTGTTTGTACACTTTAGCCAAATAGATAAATATGTAAACGTACGAATACCAATATAGCTTTCACTCAGGAGTATTCTAAGGTATTGATTTCTAAATCTAAACTAATTCCTTCAGGTTAATGATAACAAAGAAAGAAGAGATAAAATGGATAGGTTGGTAGAGAGGGTACTTGAAGGATAACGCTAGTTTTTCTATTGAACCAAGCAGATCAAAGCTTACTCGCATTGTTTACTTTGAGGGATGAGAAAGGGAAGAGGCAAGTCTGGCCCTAAGTTCTATAGAATCGAACTAACCACTCAAAGTAAATACTAAACAGTGGACGAGAAAATTGTAAACAAAGTAAATACTAAGCAGTGAATGAGAAAATTGAAGTAAATACTAAGCAGTGAATGAGAAAATTGTAAACAACTTAAGGAAGAGTTGAATGCTCTATTAATCAGAGGAACCGGAGTGTAACACCCCTCGCATTGTTTACTTTGAGTGATGAGAAAGGGAAGAGGCAAGATAAATTTTATAGAATAGAACTAACCACTCAAAGTAAATACTAAGCAGTGGACGAGAAAATTGTAAACAACTTAAGTAAGACACTACTACAAAAATAATTCTGCGAAGCACTGCCCAAACATTAATTGAAGCATTTACAAAATTCAACCGCCTCGGTTAATACCTGTTATTAATGGAGGCGGTCGGCGGTTGGAAAATGTCCGCCTCCGTAAATGGATTTACGGAGGCAGTTGTCTAAAATGGTCTATTTTCAGATGCGGTCATCTTAGTAAATCGATTTACGGTGGCGGAACTTTTAACATGTCCGCCTCCAACAATGGAGGCCATTTTCGAAGGCGGGCCTCTTAAACGTAAATATTCCCGAGGCCCAGCCAAAGTTCAATCCAACTCTCTACCGGGCTTATATAAATTGAGGAGTTAGGGTTTCTCCACCAGCCCCTCACTCTCTCAGCTCTCTCTCACGCCCCCACGCAGCGGCGCAATGGACCGGCGCGCCTCCCTCCTTCGCTCCCTCCACTCTCTCTCTCTCTCTCCCTCCCTCCCTCCCTCCCTTGTCAGCGCTCGCGCTCGCACGGCCGGTGGCGCTCGAGCAGCTCGCGCCGCTCGCACTCGCGTGGCCATTAGCGCTCGAGCTGCTCACAATGCTCATGCTTGCGCGGCCGGTGGTGGCTCTAGCGTGGAGGCGGTGGCACCATGTGTCCCGGCGGCGAGGACCCTGCAGCGGCGCCAGGCGGCGACTAACGAGCCCGAGCTCGATGGCGAGGGCCCTGTAGCGGCTCCCCTGGAGGCAGATCCAGCCCTCCCTCTCCCTCAAGCAACGGTCCCGATAGCGGAGCTACGGTGAGGAGTAGCGGTCCCAGTGGTTCCACCGACGGCCCCCGCGAGCAGGTGCCTGGATCCGGTGGCGGGTGCCTAGATCTGGCGAGCGGCTGCGATGGCGCGCAGATCCAGCGAGCTGCAGCCACGGCGGCGCGTAGATAGGCTCGGCGGGCCCATTGATGGGCTCAGTGGGCTTGTCCATGGATTTTTTGTTTTTTTTTGTTGTTTTTATTTGATTTACCGAGGTGGGCACTACAACCGCCTCGGTAAAAAAGTGATTTATGGCGACCTTTGGACCGAGGCGGTTGTGATGCCCGCGTCCAGTATGTTTTATGTAGTAGTGAGAGTTGAATGTTCAGTTAATCAAATGAACTACAGTGTAACAGCCCGTGTCCAAAATTTGCTTATGGTCTAGCTCCTCACATGTAATGGGCTCACATATGCAAAGTACATTTCTTACACTTTCGTCCTCACTTTGTGTAAAAGGGTTAACCTGAAGGTGCTACATTTAGAACGACAAGAATTATAAGATGACCATCGCACTCATAAATTTCCAAGGTGGTACTAAACCCACCAACCACAACCACACATGGGTCAATTACTTCAGTCTACTAATGGGCTGGGAAGTTACACGGAGTTACCATGCAAGACACAGATGTCACTCAAAATTGAGTTGCATCTGTTGAGGTATAAAGTGGTGGAGAAGCTGATAACTACGGCTTCTCCCTAACACTCTCACTTTTCCTCTCTCCCAATTTCTTCTTCTACGACTACAATTAGATGAGTCACAAAAAAAACTGCAATTAGATGGGGGCATCATCCAGAAGGACACCACTCAAGAGGTAGAGGAAGTGTTGGTACAAGGTGCCCCTCTTTAAGTGAGAGTGAGGGATCCTATTTATAGCTCGAATGTGACTTGGAGAAGTGGAGATGCTCTTCTTGCATCTAGGGAATATTCTCTTCTCTTCTTCTCTTTTGGCCCCTTCTAGAGGGGGGAATCGACCCTGGGAGGTTGATTGTGCTCATGTAGTACAAAACCGAACAAAACCAGTATTGTGGGCACATGGACTAGCCGATGAGGACATCCCAACCATGCATGCTACCTCAAGTGTTAACCATTCACTATACAATATAGAACATACAAATCAAGGACCACTCACATAAAGTTGTGTGAAGAAACTACAAGAGAAGGTGAATTCATTCCTAACTGAAATTATCTTTGATATATTTGAGAATGTTATACTACCTAAATACTCTATATATGTCTTATTAAGGTTGACACAAGAGGGAGCTACCGCTGGAGCAAAGGAGAGAAGTTGGTTTACGGAAGCTGAACCAACACACCACCTGGCTGACAGCACGGACTAGCAGAAAAGAAATAGTCATTCCCTAAAGCTTTGGAGGTTCATGAGGACTTTTTGGAAAGAATATAAAGCCTACTTTCCAATGTAACAAACCCCATGTGGTTTGGTGTAACACCCTAAAATTTGCTTCTTTTGAAATAGAGCTAAATTGATTTAATATTGTATTTTTGTGCTCATGAAACATAGGAAAAATAATATTTTTCGTTAAATTGAGATTCATCATAGGATGTAGATACATGTCTGAGCATTCATGCCCTTGCATTTGGTTTATTGAAGTGAGTGGTTTTGATCAAAGTACAAAATGGTTTGAATTGACTTTGAAAATAGTTTCGAAATAGCTTTTAAATAAAAAAAAGAAACCCTCTCCTTCTCCCCTATCGGCCCGGAGGCACAGTCCCCTCTCTCGTCCTTCACCTCTCTCCCTCCGGTGGAAGCCCAGCAGGCCTAGAGGCCGAATCGGCCTAGGAGGAGAAGCCCAGCTCCGCGCCCCTCCCGCGTGCTCTCTCTGTCCAATTGGTCCCAAACACAATGGGCCCACGTGTCGGTGTCGTCCCTTACCTCAAGCCGTGGACGAGCGGGACTTGCCCAGGATGGAATCCGTCGCCGCGCCAGATTCCTTCGGGATACGGCG